CTCGGGGCTGCTGCTTGTCACGAAAACAAGCGAGCTGGGTAGAAAGGCCCGAGTTCCTCTCAAGTTTTCTGGTAGTCTCTAGGGCACACCCCTTGTATAAAGGCAAAAGCATGAGCCCCCAGAGCCACCCGCCTGGGCAGTGGGGACACTCTCCATCACTGACTTTAGGTTACCTGAGGACCCTCGCCTGCCTCTCACCTGCCGCTGCCGCTGCTGCTGCTGCATGCGGTGACAGCAAAGGTTGATGGCATGGTATGTTTGTGTTTAGTGTTGTCCTGGGGCTTGAACTCAAGGCTTACGCACTGTCCCTGAGTTTTTTTTGCCCAAGGCTAGTGCTCTGCCAGTTGAGCCACTGCTCCACTTCTGGCTTTTTGGTGTTGAATAGTCAATAAGAATTTCGTGGACTTTTCTGCCCAAACCACGATCCTCAGATCTCGGCCTCCTGAGTAGCTAGGATTGCACGTGTGAACCACCAACACCCGACTATAAAATGCTTTTAAAAGTAAAATATTTTGCCCAACTGTACGTTTTCAGTCTGAACATCAAACTGGTTTTGGTTTGACAGTGTATAAAAAGCAAAATCGCATGTGCTGCCAGGCCTGCGCTGAGGTGTGCAGGAGCTGGGAGCCCCGAATCCTCACGGGCGCCGTGGGGGGGGGGAGGCAGGGCGATGGGGCCCTCCCCTCTGCTTCTGTGTGCCTGACTCCACAGTAAGCTGTGCACAATGGCGCTCATTGCTTAAAATTACAAATGGGAGTGGGTCTTTGCATGGCTGCCAGACAACACTGAAATGTTGGCCAAATATATTTCTGAAGACTTAGGGGCAGTTTTTATTAGAGATAATAGTATAAATCAGAAAGCTGTGTCCCAGTCTCCCAGCGGACAAGGTAGGATGCATTGTGAGGTTACCTGCCGGCCGCCATGCCTCTCCCTGTCAGCTACTCAGGACGCTGAGGTCAGAGGTCAGCCAGCCCCAGCAGGAGAGCTCCATGAGACTCTTAACACCACTCAAGCCCTGAAAAGCTGGGAGTGGAGCTGTGACTCAAGTGGTAGAGCACAAAAGCTCAGGGATAGCACCTAGGCCCCGAGTTCAAGGACCAGGATGGCACAAAAAAGTCAGGCTTCCTGTCTGGCACCTAACATGGTACCCAGTGTTTAACTTGTGTATAATCTGCAGTCATTGCAGATTCTGTAATAATAAGCCCTAGCGATGGAGACTTGGCTTTAGAGATAGAAACTTGATTTCCTAAGAGGGGAGGCAGACATGAAGGTAGATGGAGCTCCGTGTGGTCTCTACCTTCCCCCTGCACCCAGAGGCTGGAAATTCTGGCTTATCTGTGGGTAGGCGGGTCCTGCAGCGCCTCCTGTTGGTCGTGGTGTCTGCACCAGGCCTGGAGGACCATGGAGTGGGCCTTGCAACACTGGAAGAACACCGTTTGAGTTGGGCTGTGGGGTTGTTTCCTGCCTTCCCCTCCCCCCCTCCTCCCCATCCTCTGTGATAGGATCCCAGTCACAAGTAGTTCCTCCTCCTCTATGCCATGCTCTGGCAGAGGAAGTCATTCCCACTCAACGAAAAGCAGCTCCCTCTGCACAAGAAGCATTTTCTACTTAGAATGAATGAGTCAAGCACAGAACTTCCTATTTGTACTCTTTAGAAAGAAGCAGCACTGTTTAGGAATCATACCGTTTGAGTTCTGGCCACGTGGACGTGTCTGTGATGCGCCGTGTGTGATCCATTGATCCAGTAGATCTATAATGGCTTCTTGCTGCTGCTTTCGTCCTACCCCTGCCCGTTCCTCCGAATTCCTTCCACAAACTGAACTCTTAGAACTCATCCAAATACCTACTAAAACAATGCTTCCCTTTTGGTCCGGTCGTGGGGCCTGAAATGTGGGCCTGGGCGCTGTCTCTCAACTCTTCAGCTCAAGGCTAGCACTCTTCCACTTGAGCCACAGTGCCACTTCTGGCTTTTTTTCTGCTTATGTGGTGCTGAGGAATTGAACCCAGGGCCTCATGCATGCAAGGCAAGCGCTCTACCACTGAGCCACCTTCCCAGCCCTTGCGATTTTTTTTTTATTAAGATACAACTCAAATGCAGTAAGTCATGGCACTTTATGTAGATAGCCTGATGAAGATTTTCATCTGTATATTCCCACTTCTAGTTTCAGAGCCTTGAAAAGCTCTCGACCCTTGAGCCCCTATCATCTTTCAGATACAAGCTGTATTTTCCCTGTGTCGGAGGTTTTGTAAAAACAAATGTTCTGTATTTGATTCCTTCCACACAAAATTGGTCTGTACAGTTTGTTCATATTGATGCATGTAGCTGTGGGGCTTTTCACTGCTATGTCATATTTCTTTGTGTGAACACATCACAGTTTATCCGTTCTACTGCCTGTGGCTCTTGGGATTGTTTCTTGTTTGTGGATAGTGTTACTAGCATGTCTTGTGTTGGACATGAGCGTTTCTCTGCTCAGTGTAACTGCACAGTTGCAGGGTATGCCTGTGTGTCTGGACTTTTGGGGATACTGTAGATGATAAGCAGTTCCACACTTCCAAGGGGTTTGAGTCCCTTCTTGTATTTATTAAGTCTGAGCTGCTACTCAAATCCATTTTATCTTTCCCTTGCGCTACCCTAAGCCACATCAAACAGAAGTAGTGATTATAACACACACAGAAATGGAGGTATACAATGGTGATTGGTCCTCAGATTGAAAGGAAATGCTTGGCTCGGGTGGTAAAGCACCTGCCCTGCAAACATGAGGTTCTGGGTTCAACCCCAGGTTCTTTGTGGGAAAAAAAAAACAAGGACATTCTCAGGCCAGGTGTGGAAGTACACACCTTTAATTCCAGCTCCTGAGGAGGCAGAGGGGTATAACGAACTTGAGACCAGCCAGGGCCATGAGCCAGCCCTTACAGGACAGGATCAGAGATTTTCATCTCATCTGAAATGTCTAAAATGAAGCACAAAAGGGCTGGGGGCAAGGCTCAGCTGGTAGAGCACTTACCTAGTAGGTACAAGCTCCTGGATTCGGTCCCCACTACCACACAAAATAATAACAACAACAACAAGGACGTCTGCTGATCTTTCATCTGCTAGCTCAGTTCTCCACCACATCAGCTCAAGTTCCATTTTCATAACATTTAAGCCTCTTGAAGTGGGCAAGAGGCAAAACAAGGTGCGCAATCGTATTCCTAAATTGAGTGTCGAGACTAGAGACTGGGATAAAGCGTTTGGCTTGTTGCCGGAACTTGTTTTTTGGAGAGAGATTGAGCCCAGGGCCTGCTGCTCTCAAGACCAGTGCTCCCCATGCGAGCTCCGCGCGGGCTGCCCGCCCACACCCTGCCTTCCACCGAGTTGAGTCGGTGCATGTTGGGCTCAGTACACATCTCCAGAAACCAGAGTTGCACATGCTCCACAGACCTGCCTGTTGGAGGGGAGGCAGGCTGGCAGCCACGGCCCGTCTCGGGGAGCATGCCACCTTGCAGCTTCGGCAGGAGGAGGCGTGGACACTGTCCACAGGAAGTCGAGTCTGGGAGTGTTCCCAGCCGAGGAAGTGGGGGAGGAGGGGTCGTGATCACAGGCATGAACAAGAATCCAAGCCAGACACACCCAGGGAATTGAAAATGCAGTGCACTAGAGTCGTGTGGAAGGGAAGAGAAGCAAAAAGTAAGGCTAGAAGTGTAATCAGCACCAGACCACACGCCACTTTGGAATAGTATCTGTAGCAATCCGCCAGCATCTCTGAGGAATCAGCCTTATCAGCCTCCCCACTACCATCCATTTACATCCCAGCTTCCAGATCGAGAAGTGGTCCCGGGAAGAGAGGGATTGCTGCCCCGCAACGCCGGCCTCCGGGCCCGTGTGTGCCGGCCCCGAGCCGGACTTTGTCCTGGGAGGTCAGCTGCTTAGATGTGGTGGGCATTGTTCAGGGTGGTGTTTCTCAAGCTTGTCGCATTCAGATCCCGTGAAGAAAACCCATTTCCATGGGCCGTGAATACTGACTTAAATCCACCTGTGTTCCTTAATATTGAGACATAATTAGGGATTTGTTATTGGTTTCCGTCCCTGGTTCCTGGAGTTCCTAAAAGCTTTTGTGGGCTCTGTGGCAGGGCCTGGTCACCAGCAGGACAAAGCCATGCTAAGGGACAAAGCCACTGACCTTTGGGAGAGACTGGAGGAGCCAGAGGTTGACTTGATTGATTGTACTTAGGTGGTGACACCTCTGTAACAATCCCCAGGAGACAATCCCCAGGGAGTGTTCTGGCTTGACATGTCAATTGCAGGGGTGAGCACACCGAGCCCCTCAGACACAGAAATTTGGCATCTGAGACCCTTTCATGCCTCACCCTGAGTACTTTGTCTGTGTTCTTCATCATATCCTTTATTTAATAAACCAGAACACAGTAAGTAAACGTTTGCCCTCGTTCTACGACCCTTGCGGTAAGTTTCTCATCGGAGGAGGAGTCGGGAGAACCCACGCTGTTGTACAGAACAGTGGGTGCGTGACGTTGGCCCAGGCTCGGGCCCCCTTAACCGCTGCTGTCTGCTGTGTCTTTGAGTTGGGAGTGTGAGAGGTGAGCGACACTGTAGGAGACTCCAGTCCACAGAGAACAGGAGAATTGGCAGAAACCCCAGCTTGCTCTTCTCAAGTCACGTGCTCCTGTGAATCCAGGCCACTCCAGCAAACCCACTTCCCTGGCAACAGCAAAGAGGGAGAGAACTCCACACCGCTGTGCCCTGGGAGCTGGACCTTGCTCCTCACCCTTCCCCGAACCCTGCGTCACGGGCTTCCTTCCTCCCCTCACTCTCCTGTTGTCTGCAAAGTACCAGCAATCATATGGCAACAAGTCAGCATAACAGACACATCCCAGGCTTAGGAAGACCCCAGTAGGAGTCGAATTTGGTCTAGGAATAGGAGCAGGAGGGGCTCTGTGGCTGACTCTAGAGGGTATACATTTAAGCTGATGAAGTGCTTTTGTCCATTTTGGCTTTTCTGCAGGGGTTGGCACCAGGAATTACTACAGGAAGATTGGCTACAGATTGCAAGGCCCATACATGGTGAAGATGCTCAGGTAACAGCTACCTCTACGCAGCATCCTCTGTGGCGAAGGACAGACTCTCCATGTCTGGCATTGAGCAGAGAGGCCAGACCTACGCTGTGCACCGGCAGGGAGCACGCCTCATCCCGCAGCTGCAGAGTCTGGAAAACACTTCCACAGTCAGGCTGGGCACCTGCTGATGGAGCCCGGGACCCCTCTCCTGTGTGCACCCACAGCGTCCCTTAAATCATGTAACCCATTTCTAAATTCTACATGAGAGCTGCAGGTGACTTTTGGGGGCTCAAACAGACAGCATTCTGATGCAAGAGTCTCCTGACTGTCGCTGGTGGCAGCCTCAGGCAGAGCATGACACACTGGGACACAAATCAGGTCGAAACCAACAAAGGCAGTCACGCTGAAATCCCATCCACATTCGCCTGCGACTTAAGCACGCGAGCTTTGGTTTTAATCAACAGCGTTCTGGTTTCTGTACTGGTGTTTCGGGAGCACGCAGTGGTGGGAGAAGCGTCAGCTGTGGGTGGTGGCGTGGGACACAGCTGTCCCCAGGCTCCTGTGTGTCACATGTGGTCACGCCTTCCCACATGCTCAGCCACGGTGCCCGGAAGGACCAGGCCATCCAGCACCCATCCCGAGCCGGGCACAGCCCAGCTCGCCTGGCCACAGCCTGCATGGCCCTGGTTAAGACTCCACCACAAAACCAGAGCCTGCGTGTACATTGTTGAAGGAGGATGCTGGTGTGTGTTAAATGCAGACAGGTAACTCGTGTGTGAAGGCAGAAGTGGGGTAAACAGGGCCAGATCTAAAACTAGGAAAAAGCAGTTTTCACAGAGTTCACCCATAGACCAGCCTCAGCCCTTCTGCGCGGCCAGCGGAGGCCCAGCGACGGGAGCGGGCGGCCCACCGTGGCCCACTCGTGTCCTGCGGCCCCTCAGTTTGCTCAGCAGAGCTCATTCCTCTGTGTGGTCTGAAAATAAAATCTTTAGCATAGAAAACATGGTGCACTCGTGCTGGTTTGGTGGTGCTTCCGTTGTTTTTCTCTCCCTGACAGTGCAGGGGCGTTTGTCATGAGTTTACAGGTTTCAGTTGCCAACCGTGACGCCGATTTCCCCCAGGGTACCGTTTCCCATTTCATGACCGTGAAAAGCGTGTAGCAGTGGCTTTCTTATGGGTGCACGGCAGCGCTCCACAAGTGTGCGTTAGGGAATTTAGCTACTTCTCAATTAGCCATCCCCCCCCCACAAAAATAAAACCATTTAACCAACAAAGCATATGCCCCCTGCGCCAGCCCGGCCAACTCCGGCGTCTCGGGCTCCACCTGCCCCTGTTTACCTGAATGGATGGAAATGTGCCATGAAGCTGAGAGAGACATGTTCAGATGATGTTTAAACATTTTAAAAGACCATAACTTAGCTTTAAAAAGAAGTTGATGAAAGCTGTGGCTCAAGTGGTAGAGCACTTGCCTTGAGCTGAAGAGCTCAGGGACAGCGCCCAGGCCCAGAGTTCAGGCCCCACGACCATCCAAAAAGAGAGAAGAGAAGTTGCTGAGGAGCCTGCACTGGTCCCTTGGATCTCAGTTCTGGATTCATCCTGTGCTCGTCTTGGGCTTCAGGATGTCCTCTGCTGGTCATCCCCCGCCCACCGTGGCGCCAGTCTCCTGGGCTTTGCAGACCTGCCGAAGTTGCCAAACTCCATCGGAGGACAAGCGTGCCATTGCCAGGTGCCTCAGCTTCTCTTCTGGCCAGACTAGTCCTTCCCAGACCTCTGCTGCTCTGGCTCAGGGCCACCTACCAAGTCCAGCCTGGCCCAAGCCTTCCAGCTCCACGTGAAACCATTAAGGTGTCTTGTGTCTGACCTGTGCTGAATGAGGCCTTATGAACAGCTGCCTTGAGCTCAGTCAGGTGGTGCTGCTTCTGGTTCAGCTTTTGACTAAATTACAGGCCATGTTAAAAAAAAAAAAAAAGGCAGACTGAAATACATTTGGGCAGGAAATGAGACTTTGAAATACATTATCACCAAGTGAAAGGGTTTGGGAAAGAAAGCTCAACGTTTCTCAAACTTGGGAGCAAATGGCCCCTTTTCCATTTCCCAGCCCCATTGAACTGGAAGAGCCCTGGGAAGCACAGCTGACAACCAAAGTCTATTCTGTGGAAGCTGTTTTTCCAACTGCAAATTTGATTCTTTTTTTTTAAAAGAATATTTCATTACAAATACAGCTCCAGTCCTGGAGCTGTCCCTTAGTTTTTTCACTCAAGGCTGGCACTGTATCATTTGAGCCACAATTGCATTTCTGGCTTTTTGGTGGTTAATTGGAGATAAGGAGTCTCATGGAGTTTTCTTCCCAGGCTGGCTTAGAACTGTAATCCTCCAATCTTGACCTCCTCAGTAGCTAGGATTACAGGCGTAAGGCACCAGTGTCTGCTGTTTGTGACTAACAGGTTTGCTATTGTGGCCAGACCTGCAACAAAGGAATTTCTCATCTGACATGAGACTCCAGTGTTTGGCTAGGGTGTGCATGATAGTATCTGACGCCAAGGGCCATTTCTTCCAGCTGGCCTTTCTCTTTAGTTCACACAAATTCTTGCATTGCAAGCTGGTTAATCCATGCATACCTGCATGGTGACATACCTGCAGATGAGGGCGGCAGAAAGGCTTAGCCTGGGCCTGGGAAGCTGCCTTTGTCCCACGAGCATGGCTGAGCTACGCGGTAGGAGATGGAATCTCATGAAGGGAGTTTGGCTGTTTTGTGGTGTGGGTGGGCATGTTTCTGTCAGGTAGAGTTGTGTGAGCATCCATATGCTCCTGTTCTATTCTGTGAAGGCAGTTCCAAAAAGTAAGTTTACAAATGTGTTAATAAACGGATATAAACACAAACTAGTAATCAAGCTCATGCCTGTAAAAAGCAAGCCAGCAGCTTTTCCACGTTCTTCCCGTACCTTTCTCTCCAGCTCTGCCCCTTGGGGGCCTAGAATGCCCTTCTTGGCCATTTGGTTGATCTCCCATCATGCACAGGGTTCTGCCAAAGTTCCTTCACTTTGTGATCTTGGGGAATCCTCAAAGTAAATAGTGATGGCTGCCATTTAACAAGGACATGGGCACACGCCTCAGTGTCCAAGGTTTGAAGCCACAGAACAGGGCCATCCTGTGCCCCGGGACAGGAGTGCTGCTTGCTCATGTGCTGTAGCATGCTCCCCAACACCCCCCCAACCCCTCATGCAATCTACACAGCAGCCCTGGTCTCAGCCACTAAAGTGCTATTAGAATCAGAAGCCAGATCAGTGAGTCGGCCTTTCCTGGCACCCTCTGCCCCACACTGCCTTTTTGAGGAGAACGCCTTCAGTCAGCTCCGGTTGGAGCCAGCCAGCACTTCCATGTCTGTATTCCATCCCCACACCGGCGGGAGAGGAAAGCTCTGTGCCAGCCCAGGTTTCCTAGGGGGCTCAGGAGCAGTGGGCCTCGTCAAGGGAGGATGCAAAGGAAATGGGCATCAACATTTTTGCGAAACAATGGTGTGTTCCTTTTCCAGCTTCTCAAAATTGTATTTGTTCACTACTTCAAATGCAGATGAGACAAAAGCTAGCTCAGAAACAGAAATCCAGCCATCTCCCTCTGTGTGCGCACTGTGTGTGAGGTCCCTCGTCCTAGCTCTCTCTTCCCCACAAAAAAGAAAAGACGAGAAATCTAGCTGGGCGCTGCTGGCTCACGCCTGCAATCCTAGTACTCAGGAGGATGAGATCTGAAGATCACAGTTCAAAGCCAGCCTGGCAGGCAGGAGCGCCACCAAAACAGAAGTGGAGCTGTGGCTCAAGTGATAAGAATGTTAGCCTCGAGCAAAAGAAGCTCGGGGACAGCACCCAGACGCGGTTCAAACCCCAAAACCAGCAAAAGAGGAGGAAAAAAACCTGGGTTGAAGCGTTCTATGTATTCAAGCATATTAAAAAAAAAAATCAGACAGCCTTTTTGCATTCTCGTTGTCACAGGACTTCGAATCAGGGATTAAGCATGAGAGACACAGATGTGTTCACTCATCCCTGAGACTTGCGCCTTCTGACATTTCGGTGCATGCATTCACTAGGCCACGGAGCGTGTCCTTTGAGTCACACTCCCACTCCCAGCTCCCTCCAGCCCTTCCTTCAGGGGGGAGGGCGAGACCGTCTGATGCTTGGCCTTTGTCATTCAGAAGGTGACAGACAGCGCCTTCGATTCTGAACAATCTCATCATACAAAATGTCAGAGCACCTGTTCGCGGGAGCACCGAAGCGTGGACGTCCTCTATTGAGGGCAGAGGTGACCACACGTTTCTTTCCTCGGCTCCTGAAGGCTCTGGCGGACGCACGGACACACGTCCCCACGCCAGACGCAGGCTCGAGGAAAAGGTCGACCTGTTTGCTCTCAGCCCCTCTCGTAGGCAACATTGGACATAGAAACACGGAGGAGACTTGACAGAACCTGCTGGCGCAATCAGACAGGAGACTGGGGCCCCAGCACCCTCTTCTTTCCAGGAAGAGCAGCCTGGCCTGGCTGTGGGTTCCAGGCTGGCACCGCTCTTCCCAGCTCTGCCAGAGCCAGGACTGCATCACCAAATCTCCCTGGAGAAAGGGCAGGCGGCTGGAGCAGCCATGATTGGCAGTGCCCACCCCCCACACCCCCAAGGCAGATGGCCTTCCTTCACAGATGGAAGGAGACGCGCGGCTCAAAACAGGGACGGGAATTAACCATCCCTCAGCGCGTCAGTGAAGTGCTGGGGTTGAGGCAACAAGTGGATGTGACCGTTAAAAATCACCAGGGAGCCCGGCGCCGGTGACTCACGCCTGCAATACCAGCTACTCCGAGGCTGAGATCTGAGGATCAAGGTTCAATGCCAGCCCGGGCAGGAAAGTCCGTGACACTCTTATCTCCACTAGAAAACTGGAAGTGGCGCTGTGGCTCAAGTGGTAGAGCGCTCGCCTTGAGTGAAGAGCTCAGGGACAGCACCCAAGCAGAGTTCAAGCCCCATGACCGACAAAATAAAGAAAAATCCAACAAGTGCTAGGGCCCCGCAGATCTGTGAATAGCGGAAGCTCCACAGTGGTTCGACCCAAGGGCGTGGGGCTGGCAGTTGGGTTGGAACTGGGATTGTTCTGGAAG